CATGCTCTTTTAGTACTTCTGCTCCTGATGAAACTTAAAAGGGTAAAAGAACATGAAAATGATTCATATTGGGATTTTCAAACCAGCCTACAAGAATTATGTGCCCAGCTCCCATTGAAATTCACTGGAAGTTGAGCATTTAACTCTGTTGGGGGCCACTTCATAAATTCTACCTTAAAAGTTTTTTCCAAACCCCAGATTCTGTTCAAATTTGGACAGAAAAGTCTTTAGTGGTTTTTCTTTTGAACCCAAATCAGTCCTCCCATTACCAACATTAATGAATCACGTACCCAGCAGTAATACGGCATAATCATTTAACTTCAAATCATAGTAATTGGAGCATGTTCTCCAATCAGTCTCCTTCACTTCTGATTCCTGGTGAAGACTGCCTAAAGCTGGAATAATTAGATTTAGTCCAGCTGAAAAGCCGAGGGATAGGGCCTGAAATGACAGAGAAGTGCCAATAGATCGTTAGCCAACTGGCCTGATGTGGGAGGGCTACCTGTGCACATGCAGACATTGCAGCCTGTCATCTGAGCATTCCTTTCTACTGTCCTTGGTGCTGGTGCAGTAAACTCTCTGCAGTACATGGAGGATGTGGCTCTTCTACCGGCAGGCCCACCATGTAGCCCTCACACAGAGCTTCAGTGCTGAGGTTGGCTGTCTCCTGCCAAACATGAAACCAGCATAATGTCAGGCAGCCTCTCTTTGTTATTAAAGGACCTGTTTCAAGATACTGTCCACAACTCAATGGAGCACAGTACAATGTGTGTGTGAAACCAACACAGACAAGGAGTCCCGGGGCCTTTCCTGTTTTGCTAAGTGGTTCAGTTGCTGTGTAGCAAGAGGCAATTCATTTTCACAGTCTTGCTTTGTGCTGAGTAAGCATTAAATGGTTTAATTTTTTGGTCCTGAGTCTACAACGGTAGCGAAGGTATGGATTGGTAATAAGAGGTGTAGGAAAGGACTCTCACTGACTGGGAGTATTTTGGTGAAGCTCATGGTATACCTGTGCCCTTCTCAGGTGGGCAGTACAATTGAGTTCAGGTTACTTGTGAGTTGAGTAAAAAAATAAGACAATATGATTCACTGTTCACCCATACAGGCTCATAGTAGCTGTAGGGGAGGTCAATACTGAAGAGAATACAGTAGAGACACATTAGTAACAACATAGCAGTGCTGGATTGCTATGTTGCTCCTAAGTGGCTGTTGCTGTTATGAGGAGTGTCAGCAACTCACTGGGTCTCAGGAGAAATGGTCTCAGGGGAAATGTTGTTCATAAATGGTGGTTTCTCTTAAAGGTGTTGCTGCAAAAAAGCATCTACCATAGTGGCTTATAATCTCAAATACTGTCACAGGTGGAGAAACCTGCTATATTGTTAATTAGTGCTACAATTGGGAAATAATTAATATTGGCATTAAAATGTCATGTTCACCAGAAAGATTACTGATCACGTGGCAATTTGGAGGCTTTGCATGCAGCTTAGAAAAAACATAACAATGCAATGAGAACAAACAACAACTAGTGTCAATAAGGGGACACCAGGCATCTGTGCAGTAAAATAAGACATTACAGTATACTGGAATATTGAAGAAGAAGAGGAAAAATCACGGAAGTCAGGAGCAATTCCAGAAGACTGGAAAAGGGGCAAACATAGTGACCGCCTATAAAAGGGAAATAAGAACAACCCAGGAAACTACAGACCAGTCAGTTTAATTTCTGTGCCAGGAAAGATAATGAAGCAAGTAGTTAAGGAATTCATCTGGAAGAAAATAAGGTGATAGGTAACAGCCAGCATGGATTAGTAAAGAAAAAATTATGTCAAACCAATCTGATAGCTTTCTTTGATAGGATAACAAGTCTTGTGGATAAGGGAGAAGCAGTGGATGTGGTATACCTGGACTTTAGTAAGGCATTTGATGCAATCTCGCATGATCTTATCAATAAACTAGGCAAATACAACTTAGATTGGTCTACTATAAGGTGGGTGCATAACTGGCTGAATAACTGTTCTCAGAGAGTAGTTATTAATGGTTCACAATCATTCTGGAAGGGCATAACAAGAGGTCTGTTTTGGGACCCATTCTGTTCAATATCTTCATCAACTATTTAGATGACGGCACAGACAGTATGCTTATTAAGTTTGCAGATGATACCAAGCTGGGAGGGATTGCAACTGCTTTGGAGGATAGGGTCATAATTCAAAATGATCTGGAGAAACTGGAGAAATGCTCAAGGGTAAGTAGGATGAAATATAATAAGGACAAATGCAAAGTTCGCCACTTAGGAAGGAACAATCCATTTCACACATACAGAAGGGGAAGTGACTATCTAGGAAGTAGTACTACAGAAAAGGATCTAAGTATCATAGTGGAGCACAAGCTAAATATGAATCAACAGTATGACACTGTTGCAAAAAAAGCAAACATGATTCTGGGATGCATTAGCAGGAGTGTTGTGAGCAAGAAATTCTGTGCTAATTAGACCTCAATTGGAATATTGTGTCCAGTTTTGGGCACCACATTTCAAGAAAGATGTGGAGAAATTGGAGAAGGTTCAGAGAAGAACAACAAAAATGATTAAAGGTCTAGAGAACATGAGCTATGAAGCAAGGCTGAAGGAATTGGGCTTGTTTCGTTTGGAAAAGAGAAGACTGAGAGGGGACATGACAGCAGTTTTCAGGTATCTAAAAGGGTATCATGGGGGTGGGGGGGAATTGTTCTCTTTGCTCTCTGATAATTGGACAAGAAGCAATGGGCTTAAACAGCAGGAAGGGAGGTTTAGGTTGGACATTAGGAAAACTTCCTAACTGTCAGGGTGGTTAAATGGTGGAATAAATTGACTAGGGAGGTTGTGGAATCTCCATCACTGGAGATATTTAAGAAAAGGTTAGACAGACATCTGTCCAGGATGATATAGACCATGCTTGGTCCTGCTATGAGGGCAGCGGACTGGATTTGATGATCTCTTGAGGTCCCTTCCAGCTCTAGTATTCTATTATTCTGTGATAAAAGATCCATCCCATATATGACTGCATTGATAGACCATTATGAAAGCAGTAAGTATAGCCCTCTATAATTCTATCAAAGGCAGGGTTATCTGTCATCCAGATCTTCCTGGCCACAGAGGAATTGGCCCAAGACAAAATATTACCTCCTCTACCTTGTCCCACTTTTTATGCTTATTTTCAATGTGATGTTTACTTCCCAGTTGCTATTAACCCAATAACAGCCTCCTATTTCAAGTCATACTGCCTGTAAATGGGTTATGATAGACAAATTGGTACACAAATGAGCACTGCGTAACACCACATAAAGTGGAGATTGAAGAAGACACAACTAGGATTGCCTGAGTGGCTGTGTCACACATTTAATATTACAATAGATTGCTGTTCTGAATCAGTGGTCAAATTAGACTCAAAATAGAGGGAAGGTTCTTTTCCCTCTTACTCTAACCTGTGGTGTGAATGGTTCGGTGGATTGTTACTGGAATACAAAGACGGGATGGATCAGTTGATGATTACCTGCTCTGTTCATTCCCTTTGGGGCACTATTGGAAGACAGGATACTGGGCTACATGGCCCTTTTGTCTGACTCAGTATGGCCGTTCTTATGCCTTTTACTTACCACACATTCAGACCTGGCCCCAGACAGTTGTAGCTCCAAGATATTACCCTCTGTTTGCTCACAGATTTTGAATAAGTGAATGAATGCGCATAATGTAATTCCTAGATAACTATTTGTACATCACAGTAAAGGCTGCAATAAGAGTGTGGAGACTTGATGTATCATCTAACCAATAGAGCACGATCCCTTTCACAGGAAATTAAGGTGCCTTGGGAGAGCAGGAAAAGAGGAAAATTTGCATATTTGGTATCCTTGTCATCCTTTATTTTGTGGATAATCAGAGAATTATGTTCAGTAAATGTGCCAATTCAGTACTCTGCGGCTATGTCTAGACTACAGAGTTTTTTCGAAAAAAGTGGCCTTTTTTCAAAAAAACTTCACCTGCGTCTAGACTGCTGCCCCATTCTTTTGAAATTAAATTGAAAGAATGTGGCAGGTTTTTTGACAGCGGCAAACTTCATTTTACAAGGAAGAATGCCTTTTTTTTTGAAAGAGTGCTTTTGAAAAAAGGCGTTCTTGAATGCAAACAGGACTTTTTCGAAAGAGAGCACCCAGGCAATCTGGATGCTCTCTTTTGAAAAAGCATCGTTCAAAAGAGGCTTGTAGTCTAGACGTACCCTGTGCGAGCAATAGTTAATTTTAAAGTTAAAGAAGAGATATGTTATAACTTTGCAGCAACTTGCAGAATGCTCTAATTTTGGGATGCCTGAAGTGTTTAATGTAGGGCTTTAACAACCACTTGAGAAATTGTCTAGCTGTATTCAATAATGAACCTCTCTGTGCTTGTGCACTGTAAAGTACAAACTCCCCACGTAGGTTACAACTGCTCCACTAAGGCTCTTAATTCCCTTACTAATCACTGTGTGATTTTTGGAGCCCTTATGGACCTTTTTTGTGTTTTTAAATCCCTGGCTCTCTCTGATTATTCATTTGTGGTTTCAGCTCTAATATTCCAAATTCTGAGTATCAGTGAATTATATTATCAGTGAATTGGATTTGTAATTGAGAAAACTCATCACTCGACTGACCAGTCTGTTGTTTGAGACTAGTCAAGCCATATAAATGTAATGTAAATTAGACTCATCTTTGTTAAAGATTAAAAAAAGAATAATGTAAAAAATATGCATCATGTACCGGGAATGCTCCAGTTACTTAAAACATGGGGATGAGCTGGACTCGTAAGTAAGACAATTACACGATGTTCCTCAAAGCTGCCAGTCTGAAGAAATGCAGCCTCAGTAGTGGATAAATACCACAAGTGAACTGGAAGGCAGTTGGAAACTCCTGCTGGTGTGGGTGTTAAGTTTAGACACACGGTGTATCTCTGTTTGTCTCCTCCTGTCTTACGTTTGTCACATTCACTTTTACTCTAGGCCAGCAAATCTTCTCCTGGACCAAAGCAACGTTGACATCTCAGCCTTCCGCACAACAGGTGACTGGCTTAATGGAATTCGGTCAGGACAGTGCAAGGACATCTTCACGGGTGTGGAATACAGTTCATGTGACACTATAGCCAAGATTTCCATAGAGTAAGTACAAATTGTAGTGATAATATACTGCATGATTGCTGCCCATGGTTATTTTTTTTATTTCAGGCAGGCATATGCCACACTATTGGGCTAAGCTTTAACAGGAGTAGCTTAAAATACTCTCTTGTATTAAAAAGCCATTTTCAAATAGAATCTCAAAATTTAGTTGTGATAGGAAGCAAATGGCTCCGCAGCTAGCTCTGTGTAAACAGACTGCTGTGCTCTCACACAGCCCAGTGAAGTCAGCAACGGATCTTCCCCATGTGATTCCAATTGCAGGGCCAGAGCCTGAGAAGTCATTGGCCAAGCAGCAGTGGGATCTAGGGTTGCCTGGCACCTCTGAAAATCTGGCCATTTTGTTTAGGAATCTGACTTCAAGCTCCTTGGTTTGAAAAGTTCAACCATTGATAGAATCCTAATGGGGATTTAGAATTTAATTTCAAATGCTTTGCTGTGAAAAACAAAACTATCAACTATTACCAGAGCTACATACAAGCTTTTCATAGGGAAGCCCTTTTTCTGTTGAGTGTATCTGTTCCTAATCTGCCTGTGAAACACATCCCAGAACTTTATTTTTGTTGCTGTTCCTTTTATGCGGTGAATGTTTGGAGAAATATACTTCAGCCTAGGAACTGCTCACTGCTATACTGATGATAGCAATGTCTTGGGATGCTGCATAGGGACCAGGACCTCATTGTACTAAGTACTGTACAAACAAACAACATAAAGACAGCCACTGTCACAGAGAGCTCAGTGTCAGGGATGTGAACAGATGATGGAAGGGACGTGATATGGTACATATGGAAGGCAAAATAACAGTAGGAAGAAGTGTTTGAGAATCAATTCACACAATGAACTCAACAATGACAGTGCTCATGGAGTGTCTACTACAAATCTTCTCTCTTTTAGCTGGATGACTGGCCAGATGTTTTTTTTCTGTCCATGATTAGATGATCAGAACTTTTATAAGCAGGAGGGCAGCCCAAAAATGCATTTGGGGGTTTTCATTTTCTCAGGAAGAGGGTGGGAATGTTTACAGGAGAGGTAGCATGAGACATTATAGGACATTTTTCATCCAGTTCATCACAAAAGCATGGTGGGAACCTTAAATTTGCACCCTCTATTTTTGTACTTAAGAATGCATGTGGACCAAAAAATATCAAATTGTTTGTTGCAATCAATCTTCCCTTACAAACATATTGTCCCCTTGTTCAAATCGTCTGATATGTGTGCCTGTTTCTTTTTTATGCTAATAAGACACATACACATATACTGCGAAAACAGAGTTCTCCATTATTTCTGAAATATTACAAATGTTACAAGTCTTCTACTCTACCTTAAGTTTCATTTACTTAGAGAAGGAAATGAACTGGTTAAATGGGTGCAATTCTTTCCTGGCATATCAAGAAAGAAGTAGGAAGTATTGGTGTTGCTCGTTCATGTGTCCACCTGGAATGAATTAGTTTGTTTAAATCCATACCATCTTTATTATTGTCATATAGAGTGTCATGGTAGTCTCTCTGCTACTGGGAACACGTCAGGTCTAGTTATGAAGATACTGTGCCAGAGACTATTGAATTCTTATTGGTATACATTAGTGACAGTTAAATGATGGGGAACAAGTAATCAATCTGAGGAAGTGGGTCTGGCCCACGAAAGCTCATCATCTAATAAACCATCTTATTAGTCTTTAAAGTGCTACATTGTCCTGCATTTTGCTTCAAGTAATCAATAGATACAGTATGAAAATTCAAACACATAATTAGCATGTTATTGCAACTGTAAGAAGAAGCTGATAATGGCTTACTATAGCAGTGACCTCTGAAAACACTGCAAAAGCTCGCTGGTAATGACCAATTTCCTCTGGACTAATAGTTAATTAGCTCATAGACTAATAGTTAATTAGCTCTACAGCAAAAGTGTGAAGTCACATTTCCACTGTGCCCAACAAAAGGATTAGATTGTCTGGAGAAACAGAAAGCAAAAACACAGCAAGGCCTGTGAACATGACTGGTAGCTATACATTTCAGCATCATTACAAGAGTTATGAAAGCCATGTTGCTCAAAGAGCTCAGCGAACAAGATAGCAGGACTGATGTGGGGGGAAAAATCATGCTGAATGAGAAAACTGAGGCATTAGAGAGGCTCTCCCATGATCACAGCATGAAGTGTTGAGAAAGCAGGGGAAAGTGCCTCAGGAGTCTCAATATTCTACTTGATTCTACAATCAGCACTAGTTCATTGTCTTGTTTTTTGAGTGGGCATTTGCAGATGCTAAGTGAGGTCTTCTTTTCTTGTGCTGTTTGTTTGTCTTATTGAGACACACATTCTCACTGTAACAGAGATGTAGCCGTGTTAGTCTAGTCAAGCTGAAACAAAAACCAGGACTATGTAGCACTTTAAAGACTAACTAATAAACCATCTTGTTAGTCTTTAAAGTGCTATATAGTCCTGTACATTCTCACTAGTTTCTGTGCCCATATGCTCCTCCAATCTAGCAATAGGGAAGAAGGCAGTATGAAACACAAAGGCAGGATACAACACATTTATCAGCCATGTATTCTCTTTCTTACAGTGATATGAAGAAGGTTGGTGTTACGGTTGTGGGGCCTCAGAAGAAGATTATTAGCAGTATTAAAGCGCTAGAAACTCATACAAAGAATGGCCCTGTTCCTGTGTAAGGTACCAAAATGATGTTGCTCAGGTCAAAGAGAGACAAGTTGCGTCAAAGGGCAAACAGTGACCACTGCGGAAACTGCACGAATTAAAGGAGCTCTCACAACGTTGGGAACATTGGTGGAAATTTCAAGCCCACTAAGAAACTCAAATATTGAGTACAAATGCCTTAAAAATAGGAACAAAAATTTTTAATCCTAAAGGGTGGGTGCTTTCTTTTCCCCTTCTAGTATCTAATTGATAATACAGACAATAATTTTGAAAAGAAAAAAATATGTATAAACCCTCCAAGTATAACAGTGAAAGTGAATTCTAGAGCCATTTGAACATTTACTGACTGAATATCATGAAACACCACGGACAGAAAAGCTGTGTGTTTGATCAACAGCAGCAACAACAACCACAAAAAAAAGACTTGCAGTATTTTTATACACAAAAGAGATCTGTAACAGGCATTTTATTTCTTTAAAGGCAAGCAAAATCGAGGGATTATACCTCAAATTTATCTGGCCATATTTACAATAATATTACTGTCATCCTTTGTTTCGACTGTGGAAAGGCATAGAGAAATAAAATTTGTAGTGACTTTGAGTTAATTCAGAAATGATTTTTGCCACTACGTTAGCTTCCGTAAATGTTTCCATTTAAAAACAAAAAGTCTTAATTTTTTTTCAAAAGGCATATTTATTTCCTTTTATTCCTTATTGTTTATATTTATGTTTAATATCTTAACTTAGATTTATTACTGCCATGTGCCAAATGCAGTCAGACTTCACTGATCAGGATCAATGGTTTCTCAGGTTTAACCTGAGAAATTGTATGATGTGTTACTTTCTAGATTTTGTTGTATGTTCACACTGCCCTGTTTGAAATCTGAGAAAGAAAAGCTTTTTTCCAGCTCTTGCTCTGAACAATCCATCTGGCGTTACTGACATTCTACATATGTCATGTTTCTGTTTACAATAATATGTTATGCTTCTAACCTGGAGTAAATATACTAGCGGAACTGCGTGTGTGGACAACATATGAATTGTTCCACGGATCAATATCCAGCCTGCTTAAGCATGTTACTTCTCTTTACTTAACAAAGACTTGATTTGGCCATCTTCACACATCATGAGTAGCACCCTAATTTAGTGGGATTGCTTGAGCTAACTTGTAAAGATTTGAGTCTGAGTCTGGAGCCGAAGGTCAGAAATTCACATGATCACAAGGCTGTTGTGGCATGTATATGTATACAGCCCCTGTCATTACACTAGGATATGACTTAGTGCTGCACATCTATGACTGGAATCCTGCCCTCCTTAAACTTCTACCTGTTCTGCAGAATGGATTCTAACGAGTAACGCTGAGTTCCTGCGAAAACAAGCAAAAGTCAAAATGGAATTTGAAAGCTCCAGAGTTGTATGTAGTATAGATTACTAGGTATCTAGTTGTTGTCTGCCATGAATGCAAAATCGATTGCTTGTTCTTCTGAAGTACACACTGACGCATGAGGCTGAATTCCTAGAATTTTTCAGCCTGAATCTGCTTCTAAATTATTATTCCTGGATCCCAAACATGAACATTGTGAACACATTTATCACTCACTGGTAAATAGGGACATGCTGGTTGGTGGACATGCTTAGAACAATCTGAGAATTATAAATTGCAGTATTAGTAAATCCTGGTTGGTGGACATGCTTAGAACAATCTGATTTGAAAATGTTCAATTGATAATAGCTATTAGTATGATTTTATAACACAATGAAATAGTTTTACATAAATTTGAACCAACAGTATTGAAAAGTGCACACACAAAAATTAAAAAGAAAGCAGTGAGAGCACACAAAATATTCATGGTTTTCTGCAGTGAACTATGATGGAGGATCCAATATTAGGGCAGATCCCATCTTTTTCAAATACAAAAATGGGATATATGCAGGAGCCCTGCCTCCTCTGTGGCCTTAGACCTTCTTCTTCTCTTTCCCCTTTGGTTCCACCCCTGTCCAGGTAGCAAGCTGGCATCAGGGAGTTGAAAGGGCTACCCAGGGAGTTCAGACCTCTGGGGAGCCTCAGACACCCCACCTCTTTTGGGTGGGCATCTGGGATGCACAAGAACAGCCCCCATCTTGTGGCCCTGTCCTCCAGGGTGCACTGCAAGGTGCAGATGAAGGGTCCGGACCTCCATGATTCCCCACAGAAGCCTGAATTCTCTGGGATGTTTTTTATGCTGCCCAGCTTGAGCTTTTGGCCTGTCCAGGAGGTGGAGCCTCAAGGTAACGAGGAGCACAGGATGGAACCTTGTGATATGCGGGAGCAAAGTCCGCCTCAGCAAAAGGTTGGTACTGCTCCTTAGCCACAGGCAGGCACATAGAGGCACTCCAGGGAATTAGGGGCCAATTTATCCCAGTGTCATTCAGCCTAGGACCAGGACTTGAAATGTACATTTTCAGACCCTCCTGCCCAGTTAGGAATGGGTGGTCACCCTGTCCAATCCAAGGAAGTACAAATGGCAGTTTCAGCTTGCTTAATGTGTTCAGAATTGTTCTCTTCAAATTTGGGCTTAACTTGATTAAAAAGTTGTGAATTTTGAATTTTTAAGTCACCCAGCTCCAGTGTGGACACAAGTGTACAAGAAATCTTGTCACAAAGTATTTCTATAGATGTTTCTCTCAGTCTTCATTCAGGAATCTTTGGGGGAGGGCAGTTTTAAATACTTTTCAAAACAATAAAAATGTTTCAAATTGAAATCTTACAACTCACGCCATCCTTAATTCTCTCTCAGTATTTAGTCATGCTCTACGGACACTGTTCTGAACATGCTCAGCGTATGTGAGTGATATTGATTCTTGGTAAGAGGGAAATTCATTTTTGTTTTTGTTTTTTTGCTTGCAGTTATGAGTAGCATGGTTTTAAACAAGTTTAGCTTCCTCTCCCCTTCAGAATTGTACAAATACTCTAAGTGGCCTCTTATTGAAAACATCCCACACTCCCCTCCCCTTGTACATATGTAAACATAACAGTGTACAATTCTTAAATGTGGAGTAGAGGTACTAGAATTATTGTGGCCATCTTCCTGTACAGGATCTGCATTGGTTATTTACATCACACAAAATGCAAACTATTCACAACATTATGTACCATATTATTGGTTTTGTATCTTTAAATATAGTTTACATATATAATTTATTTCTCTTAACATATCTAGTTTTGTGCTGTACTTAGCATTCAATAAGCAATGTATAGATGTGATTTGATTGGTAATATGTACTTATTTTAACTTGTAATTCAAACATTACTTACTCATTTAGTTTATATGTTGTGCAATTATAGATGGCCTCTTTACTAATGTAAAATTATTTGTAGTGGAAACATTTATATTTTTATAATAAACATAATGAAAGTATTTTTTACATATTGGAATACCCAGGTGATTACTTTGAGGCAAAGTAAATCTGTTTGGTTTAAAAAAAAGAAACTAACTGGCTTGATTACATTGGGATTAAATGTAATACATTACCTGTGGCTAAATTCTCAACTTCAGTGCACAGCTTGAGTTAAAGAGCAGTTATTAAGAACACCTATTAAAAAATCAATGTTTAAAATAGACCCACTGGCCAGATCCCTTGGTATTGTGCCAAATTACATTAGTGTGGAGATCTGATTCCCTCTGTGTATGGGAAGACTGTTTTAGTCACAAGCTGCATATAGGGTGTTGAGAAAGTTGTTTATATTAGCTAAGCCAAGTAACTCCAAACTTCTACTTTTGTTTCAAGGGGACTGGACCTCCACTGGTCCAGAACGCTTAAGTACTATAAAGGATGTTCTTGTCAACAAAGTAAGGCAAAGCCCATTAGTTACTGTAACTTTTCCCCATGATCATTTTTTTCCTCTGTATTGTAAACAAATCATCATCTAATGCTCTTTCCTATATGTGTGTGTGAGAGGCAGTGATTTTTTCCTGTTTACTGTACCAAAACAAAAGCATTGTTTTCTATGTGTTTCACTGAGGCATAAATCATTTGAAAATACCAATGTAAACCCTAGCTTTGCATCTCAAGAGATATTGTCCTAGAAGAATGTGAGGATGTTCTGCTTCTCCCGTTAAAATTACTTAGGATGAGTAAAGAATTAGTATCCATTTGTATTACAAATGAGGAGGACATGCTTGTATTTTAACTCACTCTGTTTTTAATCATGCAAAGCAATGCATTACAGAGTGGCTACGTCTACACTGGCATGATTTTCCGGAAATGCTTTTAACGGAAAAGTTTTCTGTTAAAAGCATTTTCGGAAAAGCGCGTCTAGATTGGCAGGATGCTTTTCCGCAAAAGCACTTTTTGCGGAAAAGCATCCGTGGCCAATCTAGACGCGCTTTTCCGCAAAAAAGCCCCGATCGCCATTTTCACGATAGGGGCTTTTTTGCAGAAAACAGTACTGTGCTGTCTACACTGGCCCTTTTGTGCAAAAGTCTTTCGGAAAAACACTTTTGCATGAACGAGAGCAGCATAGTATTTCTGGAAAATCACTGATGATCTTACATGAGATCGTTAGTGCTTTTCCGGAAATTCAAGCGGACAGTGTAGACAGCTGGCAAGTTTTTCCGGAAAAGCTGCTGATTTTCTGGAAAAACTTGCCAGTCTAGACACAGCCAGTAATTCTATGTGGGTAAACTTGGCAAGTGTTATCTGTTAAGTGATATTAATTGAAAGAGGAGCTATTGGACACCACAGAACAGAAAGAAGGAGACAGTAATTCAAATCTGAAGCACCTCTTTATAACACCCCTATGTTACATACTGTGCTGAAGTTGGTTCATACGATGCGAATCCAAATCCCAGTGTGGGATTTGAAATGGTGTGGAAACCAAGTCAATCTGTGGAACGCTTTTGCCAGAAGATGTGAAGGTCAAGACTATCACATGGTTTAAAAAAAAATAGAAAAGCCCATGGAGGACAGGACCATCAGTGGCTAGCAGCCAGGATGTGCTGGAATGGTATCCCTAGCCTCTGTTTATCAAAGGTTGGGAGAGGGTATGTGACTTGTTGCTTACCAGAAACTGCTGGGCCAGTCCTGTCACTCCAGCTGCAATTAAGGGAAATGAATTGGAGCTGACTGGAGTAATCTGAGTCTGACTGGCAGAGACAGAACAGCTGTTGGCCCAATTTGCCTGGGGCTATAAACAGGCACAGAAGAAGGAAGCCAGGAGATGAAGAAGAAGCCAGAGAGTAGAAGGAGAGGGGATTTACAAGAAGCGAAAGCGCCTAAGGTTGGAACCCTGAGTGGTGTGATGAGTTTATCCCTTGATAGCTCAATGATTGCACTGTTCCTTATACAAGGTAGATGGACAGAGACATGTAGTGGTTGTGAACACTAGGACTTTAACAGTGTTTAAAAAAGAACTAGATCAATTCATGGAGGTTAGGTCCATCAATGGCTATTAGCCAGCATGGACAGGAATGGTGTCCCTAGCCTCTGTTGGAGAATGGTAATGGATGACAGAGGATGGATCACTTGATGATTACCTGTTCTGTTTATTCCCTCTGGGGTATCTGGCATTGGCCTCTGTCAGAAAACAGGATATTAGGCTAGACGCACCTTTGATCTCAC